AAAAATTTGTCATATCTAGCACCTAAATTTTTGGTCAGTTAGTTGCGACAATTAGGCATAAAGAAACAAGAAAATCAAATCATTGAATTGTATAGTTAGATTTCTGAACACACTGTTACCTCATTGAACTTTTCATTGATATTTGCAGCTGATATACAAACGAATTAAAAGCAAACAGCTAATGACAGTGCTAAATTTATTCATTTAAAAAGACTAGTCATTTAGCAAAAAATCTTCTTCGTCTAATGTTAAAAATGTGAAAAATAACAGCATGACTATCCAGTTGATTTGATGTATGCTTTTTTTCTCAGCTTGAATTGGCAAATGAGAAGTGAACAGAGAAGGCGATAAGTGCTGAAACAAGAGCGGTGGCTAAAAAACGACTTTGGAGAACAGACGAATGAAAAAAGGACGGAGTTTTTACTTACCAAAATAAACAAAAAAAAGTGCTCAACCCCTAAAGCATGCACATTTACTGCTCGTCAACACTAAAAGTTTATCATGATACTAGCTAAACTAAAACAAAAGAAAGAAAATTTTTCTTATTTTGTTGACAGAGAAGCATATGCTGAGAGACAGTATTTGAACACTGCAAAAATAATCTAACAATTTGTACATAGCAAATATTCATATTTGCATCAGCGCTATTTCCCAAACTTTAAGTGACATGTATCGCGGTTTATTTTTAGGGTTTGCTGTAAGTGAATATCTTTAATATCCAATAGTTGCTATCATTTGTCTATATCACATCCAAATGATTGATCTTTAATTTTAACAAAGCATTTTTAATAGGCCCTATAACTGCTGAAGCTACAACATAAACTATAATTTTTATGCCAAAATACATTATTAATTAATTAAGTAATTTATTTATTTTTGCTTTACAGCTCTTATAAATGCATTATAGATGCAGCCTGACAAACTGCCATTGGTTATCCCAAATGTTTGCTTTTACTGAAGCTACGAAAATTGCAAAACAGTTAAATTTCACCAAGTTTTTACAGTAATAATGTTTCCAGCGTTTTTTTTTCTTATTCTTTGACATATCGATGATGTTTTTCCATGTTTTTTCAGTAATCCACGAGAAATTGTTACCTCAAAACTAAAAAACTAAAGAAGTTGTTGTCAAAGATGGCGATGTCTAAAGATAACGTATAAAATCCTGTAGCAGTAAATTAAATAACATCACTTTTTTGTCGTTTAATCAATGCTAAACCTCTGGTACCTTCCTGAATATGTTCCCAGTCAACTTCTACCTAAAAAATAAGAAAAAAAAATTAATGGCACACGACCGGATATATCTGAAAATAAATCAGTAACCATTGACAATAAGAACAAAATTTTTATTAGCATTTAATATAATCCTGAAATAGTTTGCAATAAAAAATTTAATACCTCAGCTAATTGTTTAATAAATTCAGCATCTGTTTCAGTTCGGTTAATTGCTTTCAAATATTGTTGTCGATATCCAAGTACAGTATCAATATATTGCTTGTAATGAACAGCCAATTCTAATGCACTTAAATTATCAATTTATTATTCAAAAAGTTTCTCGTATTCTGCTTTTTTTCACGTGCAATCTGTTCATTTTTTAAAAAACAGTTTTTTTGCCGTTTTTTTTGTTTCCTAGAGTTTATAAAAATAGAAGGAAGATATTGATAGTTTATTGCTTTTGCCCCTTATACGTCAGTAAGATTGCTCCCTCTTGACCCTTCTATAACATCTTTGATCAAAAAAAAAAACAGTTCTGGAGTTCTAAATATTACGGGATGTCATGCAGTTCAATTAGACCAAAAATTTTACCGTTTCCAACGAAACATTGAAATGTTGACCATAATTGCATCCAAAATAAGACCCGACCTAATCATCATAGATTCTGCATCGTTGATGTTGTTGTTGAAGAACGCAGTTAATGAAGCCTTCATACTTCTGTCAACTGTTGAATGAATTTTACTAATAAACAAAACTTTTTCAACCTAAAAAAAATACTTTTTTTGTCAATCAGACAGCTCTACCACAAAACACGTATTCAGAAACTTCTGTTCCGTTATTTTTCCTTCTGATTTTTGATCATTTAGTGAAAAAAAAAGGAATTTTTTTAACCTTGTTTATTTGAGCTAAAATTACATATGTCTTTTCATATGCTATAAATTGTTGTTGATGAAATAGCAAAGAGAAAACAGTTTTTTTTTTTTTTTTTGCTTGAGAACTACAGTTGTTATTCTCCTCTACTTTTTTTTTTCTTTTTTATTGAGAGACAGTATTGCTACCACTACAGAGCAGTTTGATTTAGTAATCGTATCAGTTTCATTTTCTCAATTCCATTTTTTTATTTTTTTGTCAGTTTTTTCTTTTCACTTCTTTTTTTATTTTTATTTTTTTCAATTCTACCTCGTCCAAAGCTGCATAAGCAATCTCTGCAGTATCTATACTGTTTGCTGTCGTAGCCATACCAGCCAAAATACCCCATAAGTAGTCTTCCTGAAGTTCAAGAAAAGAAAAAACAACTCTCCAATTTTAACAGATCAGCAATAACAAGTAACAGAAACAAAATTTTTAGGTTTCACAGCATATATAATTTCAATAATTGTATGCTGTATTTGTTTACCTGTATACGTCGACATAATTTAATAGCACGATTCCATTTCATTCCAGACGCATATCGCCAAAGACCTGCAGCATATGGTGGTACCGAACAAGGAATCAGTGCTGCATCGGAACGCCGTATAGACACGTGGTTGCCAAGAAAACTATAAAAGAGAGTAGTAAAAAGACAGTCAAACTAATAATCTCAATTTACACAAAAATTGACATTTTTTGATTGCTGTGAATATACGTACTCTAAAACAATAACTTTCCTTCCTGTGAAAAGGATTTTAAACTGCTTAAATACTTCGTTACAATGCATATTTAGTCTGTTATAAAATTATGAAAAACTATGGTTTAGAATTATTTTGTTAAGAAAAATGTCAGTCGTAAATTGTTGATACTTTTCTTTTGACAGATTAAAATGCTAACGCAACGAGACTAGCAGATCGTCCTAGGTTGTCCACTTCTTTCTCAATAATCGTTTTTAACAGCATTTCACGATCAATGAAAACCATAGCTGGATAGCCCCACACAATTAGGCGATATTCCTGTAGACCAGCCAACATGTTGGTTGTGTCATTAAATCTAATAGTTGTTACTGTAGTACCTGAAAAAAATTTATTATTTTTACTTTTTCTATTACTATTTAAAATGTGTTATTTCAGTTTCAATAAAAAGTATTTCAGTTTTCATTAAGTTTTTATAAATTATCGTTTTATGAGATGTCTGCTTAACCTTGTTTCAATTTTTTTGTTCCATATTAATATAACTTCAAGTTTTTTATGTCCTTTTTTTCATGTTTCTATTTGTAATTTTTCATGTTATTTGGAAAAAAAAAA